AGTGATCCATATCTTGGGCCCACTAGATCATCTAGCTTTGCTTTTGCATTTTGTTTTCAACATAATCTGAAGTGCAAAAAAATCTGACAGCCTATTGTTAAAAGGCTTCATACAGTACTAGCTGATGAAGGGCAGGCACAGCTATTTGTCTAGATGAAGTTGATGGGAGCCTTGGTAATAATCTAGCTTTCCCTGAAAATTTCAAGTGTCCTTGAAAAACTGAGCTTTTCAGGAATTTCAAACATATCTAAATGAATGCTATTACTGTTTCCTTTGGTAACTGCTTTATTTCCTTTAGCAAGGAGAACAGATTGTTATATCAGGTGGATCTTAGCCCAAACATCTCCTCTTAGTAAGTTGTTGTTCCTTCACTTGTACAGTATATAGAAGTTTCTCTATTTTATAAGCCGTGTGTAAACTCTCTTAAACATTTTGGTGCTCTCAGGTTTACTGTTTGCATCTGATTTATTTTGCACAAGATTTGGTAAACATATTATTTGTTGGGAATCATATCTTAACCAAGTTACTTAGATATGCCTGTCTAGTTAGCTCCAGCTATGTAGGCGAACTAGATACTGAACATTCTTAACATGTGTATTTTTATTTTTCTGGTAGTACAAACAGTGAAAATGAACTGTGTGAGCTAAATTGACATTATGCTTATGAAGGTCAGCTTCTGCTCACTCAATAGTCCTGCAGAACCTCAGATAGTACCATAACCTTTCTCAAAAAGATTGGGGGACTGTCTTAGGAGCCTCTGGGCAGTAACGCGATAAGCCTCTACAGCCATTATCCTCCTAATGGAAGGATTCCATTGGATTAAAGCCTAAATTCCTATTAAAATAGGAATGACATTTCAGAAAGTCTGTTATTCATCCGTTTGGTATTCTATCCAGCTTGGGAAATAGATGCAAAAAAGAAAAGCTTTTTCCTCCATTGGCAGATTTGATAATTACTTGATCTTGAAAGCAAAAGCCGTCTGCTGTGGGACTTCATCTTTCTGTGTTCCATTACATTTTTTTGTTTATTTGCTTTCCTGTTGCTCAGTCCTGCAGCTTTGCTTCAGCGTTTCTAACCTGTGCTGCATAGATAAAGGGATCTTTTTTTTTTCTTGTGGGGGCGGAAGGTTGGAGCATCAGCAGAAATGAACTGAGTTGGCTCATTAGCATGTTTTAGAAGTCTGACTACCTCCAGCTTTGAGAACTTAAATATTCAACAGCTGAGAACATTGAATGAGGTTGTTACAGTGAATTAGTTATTCATTTATTTGCCTATGGGGAAGCTACAGGGCAAGGTGAGCTCTTTTATTTATAACCCTTCTCACTTTATTGTTTTCAATTTAAATGTCATCTCCCAAATCTTACCTGACCTAATCCAGACCTTAGAGAGAGAAAAAATTAGTCCATTACTTAGCTAACATTTGCATAATTTATATCAAAAAGGATTATGCACACGGCCACGCATGGAGGAATATTGATAACATATTTGTTACTTGCATGAGTTTTATTTGTATAAAATGAAAGCAAAATATTAAAGGAAGAATTTAGAGAGCATTAAAAGCAGCCGACAGTCACAGGGCATGAATACATCAAATGATTTTGAAGCATTAATATTTGTCTCTTGGCAGGGTGCTTTTCTACAAAATCTCCATGTGTAGTGTTACAGTCGTTGTGGTTAATTTACTTTACCTTGTGTACTCACTCTCATCTCAGATTGTTTCCATGTTAAAGCTGCTATTCTGTGGTAATAAGATTGCTATCTACTTTCCCTTATCTGGGAAAGGGATGTTATGGTAAAGAAGTGAGTCTCTTCTACCAGGATGAGTAGCTCTGGTTCTTCCTCTTTATTTCCTCCTTCATGGTAATTAATACAATTGTTCTTAGACCAACAAAGCTGAGCTTGAAACTAGGTGTGATTGTCTACCTGGAAACAATATGTCCATAAAAGAAGACTTTTGAGCATAAATCTCAAACTAGATAAGCTGCTGCCTACAATGCACTTTTCTTCCTCCCTGCAAATAGGTAATGATTTCCTCTGTTGAGGCATGTCTGACTCTAGTGGCAGTGCTCATCTCTGTTTCTTAGCTGAGGGAGCCATCATTGTCCAAAGACACTTCCGTGATCATATGGCCAGCATCACTATTCGCTGAGGTGAGAAACACGGGATCCTGTTACCTTCTGAACCAGAATGTGTTCATAATTAGCCATTTATTGAAGTTGGAACACGGATTCGAGCCTTTCGCTTTCTTCCTCTCCCTTTTCATTAAACCGCTGAGAGATCCTAACTTCTTTTACTCCATATGTGTGCAAGTCCTATAGACATTAGTTTAGATACAGAATCCATTGGTGATTGGGAGCCATTATATAGTTTTCAGTAACAGAAATATGTTGTCCATATATAAATAGTAGAGTATAAAAATACACATTGTTATTGGATCCAGGGACGGCTGCATACTTTTGTGTTCATAAGCATGAATGTGTCTTTCAGGTGACTTTCTCTTCCCATTCCAGGCCTTCATGCCTCTTTCATTAATACTGCTTTGCCAAAAGGATTGGCAAAGTAATATTCTTATGCTTTTGACAATGATGTGGGGGGAAAAATGCTATTCTACTCCTTCCAGACATCTTCCCACCAACAGTCCACATAGTGCTAATGACCTCTGCTCCTAGGAGTGATGCCTGAAAGCCAAAGAGCTTGGCTGTCTTGTTCTCTTTTTAGCCTTATCAATACTGGCAGCAAGATGCTAGTCCTTCCAGCCCATAGAGAATAGAATAATATTTAATTTTTTTCCTAGTGCAATGGAAGGATTCTATTTATCTGTTTGAACTTTTCATTGGACAATGCTCTTTCCAATCATGCTTTCACTTCATCTCTCAATATTTCTGTACCTTTGTATTTGGCATCAGAGAAAAAGACGAAGTCCATCTTTGCCATGAAATTGGTTTATCATTTTTTTTGGAATCCTTACTATTTGGATTTGATTTGACTTTAGTATGGCAGGATATTGTGTTTATCCTTTTGTGGATCTAATCTGTTTTCAGATCACATCTCACATATAGTATGCACAGGTCTGGTAACTATATGGTGAAATTGTTCATGTCTCAATATGTTGATTCAAGATAAAATTTTATCATAATAAAATCCCAAAATATGTAATCAGATTTTTGTCCATCAAAGCATTTATAAAACCTCTACACTACAATGTGTACACAACATCTTCACTATGCAAAGAGAGTTGAATTTGTTTCTCCTAGTTACAGTATCTTCTGATTGATTTAAAAAAAAAAGGTACCAATTCAGAAAAAAGCACGAGGAGATCTATGCTGGGTAATGCACAGTAGAAAAAAAATGATTTACATTAATATTTATTTACTTGTGGTCTTGGCCACAAGAATTCTTTGAAAACTAGATTTCTATTAGATGGATGATTTCTAGCTATATGGTAACAGACTGATCGGTACATTACATTCATGTTGCTAAGTGTGCAGTTCTTTTAAAACAAGTCCATGTGTGAAGCCAATTTTTTCTAATCCAGAGGCAGGTTAATCATTTTATACTGTGTATGAGTGGCATTGTGCCAATTGAGAGTCAGGATGGTGCAATTATTTTTAATCTTACATCCATGATGTGCTGCTGTTTTACTGAATAACACTGTAAGTTAATTTTCTACTGTTATTTCTTTACTGATAGTGTAATCTAGTAGTTAATAACCAAACACTGAAAAGCTTATCAAACTGAATCTTCAAAAGAAAATGTCATGCTAAATGCCAAATACATCAGCAGATATTAAAACTGCATGGAGGTGATTAGTATTCATCCTTGTAAGATCAACAGGTGGCTGAGTCAGATCACAGTTTGAAGATACACTTAAACAGTTTTTAAAGGGGAGAGAAGAGTAGCTGAGACCCTGTAGTGCTGGGAGGTCTCCCCAAGGGACTGAGGAAAAAAAAGGCAAATAACAATCTTACTTCTGTACTTCTTGAGGAGACTTTTTTGTTTTCATTTAGAATTGAGACTAAATCTTTGTACCAGAAAATTGCCTGTCTACCCTTGAATGTCAAGGATTATGTTCATCAATTTTTGTGCAAGGTGGGGGGTGGGGGAAGGGTTTACATATGGAAATTTCTTTTCTGAGCACAACTGCTGCAAAGTTGGACCATCTTTTGATATTTATAGCTTGCTGGAGTGTGAAGGTTCATGAATATTCTCTAGTAATAAATGTACATATTTGAATTCCTCAGTTCTGCAGAGGTGTCAGCTTTCATTCATGTGGGAAAGTAAGTCATTCAACCCCTACTGATTTTATTTCAGCAGGTGGTCATATTTTTATCAAATGCAGGAAATCCAGAAGAGACTTTTTATAAGATACTGTCACTTAGACATTTGGTATATTTGGCAGTTACTTGAATATTTTATTATAATTTATATAACATTAAAAGGAACATGCTTCATTTGTATTCCATGATTTGACATTTAGCTAATAAATTTGATCTCAGCTATATGGTTTCTTTGTTAGAATTGGCTGATAAAGTTTATACCTGAATTTCTAAGGACATTTGGACACACATTTATTTTTTAAGCATCCTGTCTGCTTCTTAAGAGGAATGGGGGAGGGGAAAGCCCTTTTTCCTGCCATAGCAGAGTAATGCCAACCATCTCCCGACTTGAGAGATCAAAAGATGCGTTCAAATGATGTGGCCTTCCGGTAGCAAGACCTTGGGAAAAAAAACCAGAACAATTAGCAGCCAGGCACAGTGAATGATGTAAGAATGGAAGTGGACACTCCAAATTTCAATAAGGCTGTCAGATCTATTTCATGGTGAAAAGAAAAATAAGGTCAATTAGAAATCAATTCTGCTTCAGCTATAACAATGTACCATACTTTTTGTTATAATAACTAAACGTGCCTTATTTTTTTTTCCAGTGGACCCCTACCAGTTAAAGATGACAAAAATAAATTGGGGAAGCATTGCCTTTTATCAGAGGAAGTAGTTTCATGAATCTTCTTTTTCTTAATTCCATTCTTATATAGTTGTGCTGAGACATACCATCTGGACCATGGAATTCCAAGAGTACTCATAAAGCTTCATTAAAGGTCTTGCTTCACTGTAAGAAATCCCCTATAAAACTTATAGTATTCTGACTCGAGTTCCCACTGTCTCACACAACATGCTGAGTGCTGCAAAAGCTATTTCAGTAATGTTCCCCAAATGAACCATACCTTCCTTCTCTCCTTCTGGATGATCTGGATCATTTGCACGACAGCTAGGGGGTCTTTTGGATCTATCCTATCTCAACTTAGTATTCTTCCCTTTAGCTGGTTTCCATTTGTTTTCCACTTCTTTACAGTAACGTAACATCACTTATTTTATTTTTCATTTCCCAAACCCCTCATACTTGATTTGTTTGTTGCAGGTTAAATGTGATCAGTATTGGCCAAGCAGAGGAACAGAAACATATGGATTGATTCAAGTCACATTGCTGGACACCGTAGAATTGGCAACATACTGTGTCAGAACATTTGCTCTTTATAAGGTACGTTTGTGTTATGCAAGCATTGAGTATCTTTTGATGGAACAAGATTGTTATTTAAGTTTTGGCAGTATCACAAGCAAGTGTTCAAATTTCTGTATAAAGAGGATTAAAGGTCTTTACACTGGTATTCAAAATGTTGACTTACACAAAGAATGTATAGGACCATGCAATTCTGTTATTTTCAACAGCAAAATTCCTTGAAATAAACTCTTACTTAACAGATGTCCTTTGGATCTTTTGTCCAAATTTTCCACAGAAAAAAAAATCCATAAAATTCATGCTTTTTTCAACCAACTGCACAAATATGGAGCATTTCCACCATTAAATCTAAAGCACTATTATTTAAAAAAAATTACACTTTCTTTATTGTTCTCCTCTTGACAGTCACAATACATACCTTCTTTCTCTCCTGTCGTCCTTTCCTCTCCCAAAACTAGACTAGATTTTTTTTTCTTTTTCTTATATAAAACTTCCTTATATAAAATCATTTTTCATATCCAACTTAACTACAGACAAAAATACTTAATATTAATGTCATGCTTGCACTAATTCTCATTAAATATTTAATGACTGTGATAAAAAATGGATAAAAGTAACAGTTTTAGACTAACAATAAATTTGTTTCACTTGATTTCATGATGATTGCCTTCTGATGCATTGTTTTGGCACTAAAAATAATTTACACTGAGGTTCTTATGTGTTAGAATGGATCGAGTGAGAAGAGAGAAGTTAGACAATTCCAGTTCACTGCATGGCCAGATCATGGCGTTCCAGAACATCCAACACCATTCCTAGCTTTCTTACGGCGAGTTAAAACTTGTAATCCTCCTGATGCTGGACCAATGGTTGTACACTGCAGGTAAGTGCAGATTTTGCATCAACAACGTTGCCAAATATTATGAAGCTTTCATAAGCCATAAGCATTTCACAATTGAATATTCTAAATATTTTGATACGTTGCGTTTCATTTATTTTTCTCCCGTTGCCTGGTAAATCCATTCATTACATATACAAGCCAGAATTGCAGAACAAAAGCAGAGATGAGGCATGAACCTAGGTGGGATGTCATCCATGCATTTTAGAAATTACTCTTAAGTTTCTAAGTGATTCCTAGAGTGGCTAGGAATCACTTAGAAACTTAAGAGTAATTTCTAAAATATTATTTTAGGGATTGTGATCATCTCCTAGAAGTCATCTAATGTGTGCTTTCTCTGAGATGTATGTATCAAGGTATGGAGTCCACCCATGCAAAACCTTTCATATTTCTGACAAAAGTGATAAGATTACAGGAATGGCAGCATCCTGAAGCTTTAAAAAGATTTATGATATGATATATGATATGATTTCACATTTTTTCCAAGAAAAAGGTGTGTATTCTAAGCTTTGATTTTTTTCAAATACTATTTCCAGGAAACATATTTTTAATTAGATCATTTCGATAGCAGACTATGATGACCCAGGGTAGGATACCAAACAAACACAGTCACAGAAAACAGGTGAAGCCCCTTTTATTCCTTCACTTTGCTTCCAAGCTCCAAATATCCTTGATGGAAGACAAAAAACTCCTACACAGTTACAAGAAGGAGGAAAAAAGCAACACAAACCAGGCAAGATAAGGGCTGGAGGATGTCCACAGATAACAGAACACACACCGGGAAGGACACCAAGCTCAGAGAGGAACCATAAACTAGAGATATTTCCACGCTTTGTTTCCAGCGCTCGCCTGTATGCATGTCCATTCTCTTATTCAGTTGTCACAGCTGGAGCCCATGAAGAGGATCAAGGCCTTTTTCTCCCAAGTAGACCACGTCTCTCACTTATCCTCTCCTACCTGCGTGCCCTAGGATGGAGAGGGGATGGGCCTGGGTCCTCCTCTGACTGCTCCACCGGCTTCTGCCCTTCCCCAGCCTCCTCCACAACCTCCGGAGTCACACTTCCACTCCCTGTCAACTGTTCCTCCTCTCCCTCAGAGTCAGTCTCCATCAGGGGCATGACACAGACTTCCATAGCAGATAATAATTCTTTGTTTAGATACAATATACTTTGATTACAGCAAAATATCTGGTAAAATATTCTTGACATTATTGTTAAGTATGAGTTAGATGGCATAAGGTAGAAACCTAGCTGAATAAAAAATGAGTTTATTACCAATCATTAATATTGTGAAAACAGGATGTGTGTATATTTACTTTGAAAGAGAAGTCTAAGGAAAATATGATGGCTGTTTTCAAATAATGAGAGGACTATCACGCAATACTTAGTAGCTGAGACCAGTTCTTTAGCATCCTAAAATACTAAAATAAAAAGGAAGAGTAAGAAGGAAAAACCCATTTATAATTAGAGAAATATTACTGATTCTCTGAATGAAATGCTCAGGGCAATCGCTTATCTAGAAAGATGGTAAGGTCCCATTATTGGATAATTAATTTGATTAATAAATAATAAATGAACAAACAAGATCACTAAATTGCCATCAAACAAGCTATGCAACTAACAAACATTAGCAATGTTAAGGAACATACTAGGAATCCTGAGTACCAGGATTAATATAACAAAAAATCATTTTAAACTTATAGATATGATTTTGATGAACACACAAAAAAAGTTTCTGACATATTTGCAAAAGTAAGAATGAAGAATTACATATGACATAGTGGCCAATACTTAATGAATTGATTTCATCATTGGCTACCCAGGCAAACTAAAACTCTAAAGGATATGTGAATGGCCTATTCCCTTAAAATAGTTGATTGTGTGGCTCCAATCCAAAGAGTTAGTCATTCTCCAATTCCATTTAAATCAATTGGATGGTTGTGATTATCTTCTCCCATAGAGTACAATGGGTTTTAAGACATAACAAATTTTCTAATGATTGTGACCCATCACAAATTGCAATGCCAAACCAAGAGTACAAAAGCAAAAGCAGCTGCAATCTGGCAATTGTCATATGGCCATTTCTACAGGAAACCAAAATTTTAAAACAATGGCATTAATTGCAGAACCCAGTATAATTGCATTTAAATGATTATGTTCCTCTTTGCTTACATCTGATCCAGGCATCTTCTCTTGGCTGCTCAAATGTGCTGATGAAGAGGCTGGAGCAAATCCCAGTGAGGAACATTCAGATATTTTTAGCTCAGAAAAATAAAGGAAATAAGGTGGCCATATTAGAGGGATATCCAACAAGCAGGGGGTGAAGATTAATAAAAGGAAGCATTTTTCAAGTAGAGCAGTGTTCACTAGTATAATCACATTGAGGAGACATGATGATAGTTGTGAGCGCTGATTGTTCTAATGAGCAATCAGATAGCAAAAATGGTCTTCTCAGTGCCAATTCATGAGCAACATATGTGAGAAACTGCTATTGGATGTATGTCCTCTTTATGAGTTTCCAAACAATGAAAACGATGCTGGCCAAAATAGAGGTTTTTATGTTTACAGAGAATTTTAATATTGCCAAAAAAAAAATACTTGAGCATTCAGGTATTTTGAGTATCAACCAAACAGCTTTAATTACAAATTATTCTATAAATTTTGGCATTTCCAGTTAGCATAAGAGCCATTTCCTCAGATTCTCAAATTTTTAAGAGTTATCTCTTTTTAAAACAATTGTCACAATACAGTAGCCCACAGGTGCCAAGCCACAATGCTACCTTGAAATGACATTTGCACAATCCCAACATTGGAAGATTTTATTTAAAACAGAAAAATAAAAAAAAATTCCCCCCAAAATTCCTGCAATTCAATCTGTGCTTACCAAGAAGTAAATTATGCCATTTATTTCTGCAAAATGTTTAGAAACACCATAAATACTCTGTTCCCCCCCTTTTTTTGACAACTTAGAATATCCAAATACTTTATTACTGAAGAATGAAATATAAAAATATGGCTTTCAATCTTTCAATAATGGAAATATACTACAATCTGAATGGCTTCATGGTGTTTTCTGATCACTTTCCCCATAATTCTCAGCCTGCAGACACTGGTTCCTGAGAGCATTACTGTGTTCTGTAATCCTGTGTTCTGTAATTTCTACCACATGCAGAAAGCAGTGATATTGAGGAAGACTGCACTACAATTTCTGTTGCATCTGATATGCAAATGGTTGAGGGTATATCTTTCAATAACACTTGCAAGCTACTCAGTAGAAATTGAATTTGCCTAATTACTATTCAGAGGATCCCTCAGGTTTTCTTGATGGTGAGATCTGTGCAGCCTAAACTTATTCAGAAAAAAAAATTAATTGGTTTCTTGCTTGTTTGTTTGCTCAGTAAGAGACTAAATCAAACAAGTTGCTGAATTTTAAAGCGAAGACAGGCATAGTCCAGAATGTTATGGCTTAATGTCACATATTTGTTGAGTTTGTGGAATCATTTTCAGTATAAATTGTTAGAGCAGCATCCTATCCTGGCAGTAGCTAAGTATGGGGGCTGGGTTGTTGCTACTAATATCATGCTTTCTGAGACACAGGTCAAATGGCCAATGATTCCATTGGATTGCATCCATTCCAACAAAGTGACATGCTTCTGGGTCATTCTAGTAATCCAGTATGCCTTTGAAAACTACCTGAATTAAGACAGTTTTCCCATTTCTGTCCCTCTAAGCTGCAAGCCCTTTTCTGAGCTCAGTAGGAGTCTGTCCAATTCAAAGAAGGAGCTTTATCCTGTCCTCTTCCCTTTTGCATAAAGTGCCTTCACATCTGCATCTGTGAAAGAATTCCTTTCCTGGATTTGTTTTTGTAGGGCTTTGATTTCCTTTCATCTTTCCCTTTGTTATGCTCTATGTCTCCAGCAATTATGCTCCATTGCCCACTGTGTGGCTGATTGGTTGCTTGGCCAACAGTATAGTACTTGAAGAAAGGGGCGTTATGTTCCCAGACAAAGGAAGTCATGATTATCCTTCCCGATGCACTTTGAAATTGCCTTGCATTTCAAAGAGACTGTCTAGGGCAAGCCTTTCTCAACCTCAACTACTTTATGTGGACTTCTACTCCCAGAATTGCCCATCCAACCAGCATGCTCTAGTCCCAATACCCAAGCTTCTTTCTATCAAGAAGGAAGGTCTGAATTGGGAATATAATCATGCTTGGCTGAACACAGTTACAATCTCTGTGGACTTGGGTTCCCTACCTAATCAAGAACCTTCATTGGGAAGAATTCACAAACCCTTTGGAAACAGTAGCCCATTCAGCCAACCATGGGTAGATGTCATTGCTTCAAACTGCACTAACACAGAGCATGCAATAGCATGTTCACATACCTCTCCATCTTCCTACTTTTTGCTAATGTCTGAAGACTTAGCTGTTTGCATGAGAAATGTACTTTCTGATTTCTGTGAAATGGAATGGAAAATATAGAGGACTGTGGCTTGAGGAGGAGTTGCCTTCTAAACATAATTTTCTCCTGATTATTTTTCTGTGAATCAGTGGTAAATGCTATGTTAAATTCCAACCCTGACTATTCTTAACCTCACAGAAATACCCCTCTTTAACTTAACAGTATCAATGATCCTTATTTCCAGACATTTATCATGTCCTGTGAGACCTGTAATTTCCATTGACCTGCGCTGTGGTTTGGTTCATTATTTGATCAGCATTCTCAATGAATCATTTTATTCACTTGTATTTAGTTAATTTTATTCCTCCCTATGTTTATATATACTCTATAAGGCAAAGAAAGCCTGACTGCTCACAGCTGAGTCTAGTAAAAGAGCAATTATTTTCTATCAGAGCCAACAGCTGTCTATAATGGATTCTGAATTAGAATTATGAGCAAAGAAAAGAATCTAGCCATCTGCAGGAAATGTGAAAATATTTTTATAATCCTAGTAGCTGAGATCTGGACAAGGGTATCCATGAGA